CTGTGTCGATACCAAAATCCCGCAGCGAAAGCGAAACAGGTAACGTGACGGGTAGAGAAGGACTCAGTGGTGGAGAGACAACTAGCGCAATTGGTTATGGTTAGACGTGAAGTTGTCACTGCGGCAGCGTGGGCGAAGCATGGAGAAGGCACTCGGGTATCACTACCTTCTAACGGCACTTCGACCGGAGAATGAGGTACGCTACCCCCTTTGCCTCAAACATGGCGAGGACCAAGATCTACGGCGAGGCTTTGTCAATGATTCCACTGTGATGAATACGCTTGACTCTCAAACAACCTTGCCTGCATTACCTCATTCTCGATTAGATTTGCCGTAATATATTAGGGGCAATAAACTGGAATTGAATTTTACCGCATCATTGCTAGTCAGCGCAGATACTATTATGTGCTCCATATCACTGCTTGGTTCGTTTGGCCTTCTCGAATGGAGCAGCGCCATCAATCGAGACAATCGCTCGTGCTCTTGTGCGCACTGTGACAGACCAACCCCTCGCCATATTGCTTGTCCGCAGCGCTGAAATTTCAACGCTCTTATCTATTTCGACTGACATTCCATATATTCCATATAAATAGTGGGGAAGCATTATATGACTCACTTCAAATACCCGTTCTCGTTCCAGCTGTTGGAGTTGCGACGCGAACAGCAACGGCTTTAACAACACTGTTGTTGGATGCATATCTTCAGCTCTGAAAGCAGTGAATATGACGCTGTTTGGTCTGAGGGACCATTTTGCACACTCGCCAGTTCCTTTTGCTATTTCATCTTAATCACCAGTTTCCAAATTTGGTGAGACCTGTGGAACTCCTTTTAAGCGGCAAAACGGTGTAAGTAAGCCACCTTGGTCATAGCGTTCAACGGGTTTCACAAGGTGATCTAAACCAGATTTGCTAAGTTCCTCCTGGTGGCCCCACCAAGCCCAACGGCCCAAAATATCAACACAAAAAGCATCTGAAGTCAGCCGTTGTAGCGAGCCCAAAAAACTTATTCAGGGATGAACATACTTACGATTGCTGAACCAGTTCATACCTATGAAAAATGTCTACAAGGAAGTAAAGAACGAACATACTCGTTAGTAACACCCGTAGAGCCTCCTGAGATTCGCCCATTTGCAGCTTCATGCTGTGCCAGAACTGATGAACACTTCAAATAGATTGAAACCACGAGCTCAAAAGCAGTTGTTCTTGCCGTCAGATCAGAGATGTCGATAAACTACAAGCAGGAAATGTGAATGAGTGTAATTGGAAACTTGCTATTGATGATCTTTACGATGTAATAATAGAGGAAAGAAGATATTAGCTTCAAAATAGGTTTACGCACAGAAGCATTCCGTCATTAATACTGAAAAGGCAACATTCAATAAGCAACTGTAGGGAAAGATTTCGAGCTGTTCTTTGAATCCACTACGGACCGTCATAACGTGTTTTTCTTATTTTTTGATTGAATTATCAAGAACAACAATTACCTTGCCAGTAAATTCATCAGTAATAGATGGAAGATTTTACACCTGGTTACAAAAGACGGCAAGCGCACCATTGCGACTCCAAAACTCAGAGAAAAATTTTGCTGGAACTCAGCTTATGTGTTATTCGGTGTCCTGATCTTTAATACGACATTCATTTTTGGCAATGGCACCATACAGCGCCAATTTGGCGCCACCAGCTATCCCACTAAGATCGGTGAAAACCTGTATGCGGAGGTTATTTGACATCCTAATCACGGATATGACATTCTTTTTATGGTATGGGGTG